GATGAAAATCTGTTCCCTCAACTTTGGAAAGCATGAGAACCAGTTTGCAATCCTTATTTCAGTAAACCATATGCACAGATTTCCTAGCAGTATGCTCTTTATTATTTTTTTCCTCTAATAAATAGTAAAAATGTGTAAGAATATTTTGAATAAATTCAGCTAGTATTTTATTCATTTGGTTGGAAAAGAGCCTCGAATACGCTGCAAAAACATGAAATCTTACCAAGTAATTTTTGTCTTTTCTAGTACAAATAGCTCAGTGAACTTGAAATAGGAGAAAACTAACAAAGCAACTGTTTAGCAGAATGTAGAGGCTTGTTTTATGTAAATAATTTCTTAATTTTGATGAAAAAGAACCTATTCAATTGGCAGATTAATTATTATCTTATCAGTTAAATAATGTGCCAGAGGAACTAGAACATTTTAATCAATATTTAGAGATTATTGACTTAAAATAAGTTCTCTATATCTTGATAAAAAACTTGTCTTTTTCCAAGTTTATTTGCACTAAAAGCTACACCAAATATAGTCGTTTTTGTGTTTTTGCAGTGAAACGACATAAACGTCACTTCTTGTTGCTGTTTTTGTTTTTTAAAACGTCCTTTATGTGCCATCAGCATCATCAACAATTCCCTAATGACTGTGATAAAATAAATAACAAGCACGTTTTTTAAATATAAGTGGCAACAGTGAAGAATGGGTCATGAGGCAGAAAAAGAAACAGGTCCCACTGGACTTTAGGCTGTATTTATTTAGAAAATGTTAACGTTGCCTTCTTTTAAACAAACTCATGGAAACTGCCGTGTTACATGTGCGTCGTCTCACGGTACCGGATATGAAGTAATTCAAAGGGTGGCTCATTTTCCTTCTTTTCATCCATCTTTGTTCTTGACTGGAGTTTACTTGTTTTCTGCGTAGCTGCAGTGAAACCCCTGAGCCGTGTGCAGAACATGACATCGGCGTCTGGATGATTTGGCAACAAAATTCAAGCAGTTCATGAAGAGGACAAAAGCTGGTGCTATATCCACCAAATCTACCTGCAGGACAGCACGCATCACAATCATTGGGAAGCAGTTTGTAGCAACAATAATGATACTAATTACTACATAAATATTTTGTTCCTGTAGTCTAGTGGGATAACCAGGGATGTTTCAGGATCCAGCGCTGCTAAAGTGGAAGCTCCATCATCTGCATCATGCAGAGAGTCGATTACTGGTTTCATAGAATCTCATACTCTAGCTTCACCAAAATGGAAAAACCAGAATGGATGACAAATAAATGGATCCCAAAACACCAACGACCAAAACGCTTGGGTCAGAGATGACATTCTATCTGACAACTGTGGCTGGAAAATCATAACAAACTCGGCGAAACATGGCTTGACATGACAAAGAAACACCGAAAATGTTTCTCTAGGTCTGTAGAGAAACACCTAGGAAGTGTAAGATAAAGTCAACTAACTAACTAACTAACTAACTAACTAACTAACTAACTAACTAACTAACTAACTAACTAACTAACTAACTAACTAACTAACTAACTAAAGTGCAGTGAATCACATAATTGAGGCAACAGAAGCAGAATACATTTTTCCACTGGCATTTTATTATGATTTATCTTGGATGAGGAGCTCCAGGTCTTTTCAGGGGAACTGAAAAGTGTTTTTTTTAAATAAATCATTAAATATGGTTGTTGCAAAATAATAAAAAAGATTACTCATTTAAATTTCTTTTTAACACTTAATATTGAAAAAAGTATCACTGGATTTTCTGTGACACATCAATTATTGACAAAAATGTTCTAGATCAGAAATGAGTCCCTGTTGTGAAAGTGTTTTACTAAATGATATTTATGCATTATTAATATTCTGAGGTTTTATTCCAGTTCTCCTGTAAGGTTTCAAGGCCTCCTGTCCATCACCCTGATCTCTTGCTGCCTCCAAAGATTCAGAAAAGCTGTTAAGAATAACAAACACATGCCGTACATTTGAACTTCTGCAGCAGCAAACATCATAAATTCAGTTTTACGTGGATCTCTTTTGACCAGCCGTGCTGCTTGATTAGAAAGAAGACATTACAGGAGATGCGTGCTCAGCAGTCAAAAGTATAACAGCCTCGTCTACTGTAACACCCATGTGTCTTCCCTTCGACATTTTCATCTGCTATGCAAATACAGACCCAATGGAGCCAGTAATCATTCATCAGGAAACTGTCTCCAAATGGTAACCGCTTCTGTCCTGCTCATTCATTATTCATCACCAAGGATGGGTCAGGCAGCCTCATTCTTCTGTTTATCTGCCTCACTCTGAGCACTGGAATAAGGAAAAGTCCAATGCTCACTTGAGAAGCTGTCTCCTTTGAGCCGAGGGTGAGCCTGTGTAACTTGGCTCGCTTCTCCTCCCTTGGTTTCTTTTTCTAAAACACCTCGCCTGTCCCTGATACCCCTCTTCATTATGCGTTTAATGAGAAACCCCTGCGTACACGGCACAGAACACAAGGCGAGCGCACATTTCACAAATAAAAAAGAGAAGGATGCATTTAGAAGCAGCTGCAGGCAGAGTTTCATCACAAATGTGACAGGTGTTTATGACCGCTGCTCTTTGTGAGTCACATCACCTGAGAGGAACTTCATTCACATCGCTCGTCTCTCTGCTGCCATCACGTGTGGCGTTTAATTCAAATTACACTGAAGAGGCAAAAGCAACGACTCGACATGTTAACCTGGCGGAGGAAGAAAAATGAGCTTCCTTGAACACAGCAGCATAGTGCTACTGTCTCGCCTCCATCCCTGCAGGAATTCCCCGTCTGTGTATTAATAACCGCTTCAAAGTGAACACACTCCCCTGAATGTATTGTGCATCCATTTGGAGGCTATCTTTCTCTGTTATGAGCCCCCACACACCCCCAAAACAGGCTTTATGTGAACTTATTAAAGCAGAAGACGAGCCAAACCTGCTGGCTGTATCCGCCATCATCGACGTTAACCATCCAGAGTTTTATAGCGAAAAAACAAACAAACTTCCTTTTGATGGAAGATTTTCCTGCAAAGGGTTAAAATCAAATCAGTTGGAAGGGTAAACTGTTTGTTTAAAGCCTCCAAACTTTAGACTGCTAATGAAACAAATCCAAAAATAATATATGGCAACTGTCTTCAACTTGTCTGATGAGCTGAATTTATGGCAGATGACTTTTGCCCCGTGGCGACAGCTTCAGCGAGGGATGTCAGAAATGTTAAGTTTTCAGCTGTAACGGTTTTGTCAAGTTTATAGAAAGGGGCTGGGTACATCCCCTCCAGTGTGTCATCATACTTAAATGGAGCATTGTCTAGGCCCTGCAGCTCCCTCAGATAAAACTGCCTGTGGTGCAATTTCCCAGGACCCCTCAGGGCCCATAATTCTCTTTGTAGGTTGTCTGACAATTTGCTAAACAGTGGAAACGGGGACATGGGAAGACTGAGGAGAGCTGCAGCTTGCAGAATCTTCACTGCAGATGTTCTGCTTTGTGAACCATTCGGATCTTCTGTGTGCAGAGCTTTGCCTTATACTCTTTCACATTTTGTCTCCTTTCAACAAAGACACACAAATGCAACAAGCTTACTCTAGAAGCAATCTAATTATTAAACAGAGTCCACCTCCGTGTAGCTTTAGTGAAGAAAAATAAATAGAGAATCACAAAGACAAACGCACACAGCAGACATGGCAGACAATGTGCAAGAAGCTTCACAAAACAAAGACATGGCTGACTATCAAAACTGGAAGGCGCGGTAAGAAGAGTATTAATCAGAGAAGCAGCCAAGATGTCCATCATTTCTGTGAAAGAGCTGGGAAGATACTGGGCCTATATGGAGAATTTGCTGACACATATTTTTCTTTTCTTTTTTTTTTTAGAAACTCAAATCTGGCCTTTGTAGCAAAAGGGTAAGAATCATTGAAGGAAAGACCGCAAAAGGTCCTGTTTGCAGATTTATTTTGCATTTTAGACAGTTTTTTTTTTCAATTAAGATTGTGTGTGATCTTTTTGTTAATTTTATGTGACCTCTGTCCACAAATATCTGTCACTTTGTTGTAAATATCATTCTTGTTTGCCTTTATTTTGAGTTTCTGGCTGCTTCGCTGCAACTGATCGCCGAGGAGGAGAATCATCCTGGAATGCTAGTTGCCTTCTATGCACTACTTATTTTCATTTTAGCCATAAAAGTGTCTAAATCATATGGAAAACTAATTTATAAAACAGTCAAATGGATAAATTGATTTTCTAATATTATTGTCACTGTCTCACTTGCCTCCCCTGACTGCAAGTCAATGATATACTCGCCTTTTTGTTGTTCTCACATAAAATCCTATATGAAAATGTGTTATTGCAACATGTCAAAATGTGAAAAATGTTTCTTTTAAGTGGCTGTTAAAGTGAGAGAAAATGTAAAAAATGTGCAGCAAGATTTCAAGAAGCTAAAAAAAGCAACATTTTCATTCTGACTTTCCTGAATAATTTCCAGTCCTTCACAGGTTCATCACATTGCAAATTGACTACAAACTATGAATGATGTAATTCCAGCAAGCATGAGATGCTTGGAAAAACAAACATGTAGAAAAACAAGTCCTGTAATGGTGCTCAGCATTGCCCCGCAGTTGTCGTGTTGCAGACGTGATCACGAGCTCACATCAAGCCATCTGCAGTGCTGCAAGCTATCACCATGCCACTCACAAGGACAAAAGTTACACAGAAAAGCCAAATTTATGCAAAAATCTGTTGTGTTGTCTGTAAAAAATGTCATAATTGTGCCTTTGTAAGTTTATTTTTGGAAAAGCAAGGCAGTCACAGAACCTATTCTTTTTTTATTTCTCACAATTTCCTCCACATTCTTCCTCTTATTGCAAACAACTCACAACCAACTAGTGACTGTAAGAGCAAAATTGCCTCTTACGATTTAGGCTGGGATTGCCGGAGGGATGGCCGGAGGGAACTAAATAACAAATGAGAGAACAGGATGAAAGACGCTGCTTTAATTCACCACAACTGATTTGATAATAAAACTCGCAGTAAAGCCAATTAAGTTCTTGGCGAGTTCTGCCATTGTGGATGTTGAAGTTGAATTGAGAACCAGTGTGTTGTCTGTTATTTAATGATGTAATTTAGGAATAGTTTTAGCGATTGGGATATTATACTGAATAAGAGAGCAAATGCTAGTGGAATCATTACCTCACCAAATTAGAAGTTGTCAGTGTTTCTGTCTCATTGAAAAGTTTTATTTTAGCTCTGAGGGTGAATTTCCATTTCGAAATGAGCTTCAGGATTCCAAGGTGACATGGAGTAAAAGTCAATTCTTCACACAAAGGAAGTAATTAATTAGGATGTCAAATTCAGGGAGCATCCTCACCTTCATTTTTCTTCTTAATTGGGGAGTAATTTAGAAATTTGAAAGGTGGCAGATCGCATTTAATAAAGATTGACACCTGTTATTTTTTTCCTGCCTTTGCCACCCACTGCTGACTCCAGTTTATTAATGGTCATGTCCTCCTGAAAGGCACAGCCGCTTTCTCAGAGCGCGCTGTCAAAAGGGTCATGTCCCGACACGGAGCAGCGATTGGTGGGCTGCTGGGTGCCGCCCTTAAGGGCAGAGCTTTATGACAGAACGGGCCGCTCTTGTTCTGGTCTGCTCATATCCCGTGGAACAGCTGTCTCTCCCAGAGTGATGACTTCATTTTGACCGCTCCCAACGCCTCCTGAAAGTCTCCGCCATGTTATTGCCCCATGAAACCAATAAAGGCCTTAACATATGTTAGAAGTTCAAAAACGGGTGTTTTCACCTTTCACTCTGAACACGCTGGGAGGGATCAGCTTGCACAAAAAGATGTAAGCTGCAGTCTGGTTATTGAGGGAAGATTAATTGCTGTCTGCTCTCTAGCTGAACTTAATCTTGAGTCCTGAAAGTGTGCCAGTGGAAAATGAGTTAAAACATACAATTTTACTTGAACTTTTAAGGGTTTTATTTGCATTCAGAATTGGTTTAAGACACATGTGTCAAACTCAAGGCCCAGGGGCCAAATCTGGCCCGCCATAGCTTTTCATGTGGCCCTCTAGACTCTGGAGGGACACGTAACAAGAACCTTAAAAACAGTTGTGTCCTTAATTATTATTTTGTCAATCAAAATAATTTGAAGCTATTTTCTGTCAAACTACATCAATGTGAAAAGAGGATGAATATTATTTGAGCTTAAGAGTGACTCATCGAATTGCAGAGACAGCTATTTGTAAATTTTACAACAGTTTTAAGGGGTTTTATCGCTACATTTTGGCTCAATTGGCCTTTGCGAACACTCATTATTTTTATATTGTCCAAAATGAAAATGAGTTTGACACTCCTTGTTTAAAATATAAACTCTTAAAGTAGGATTTTACATTTAGCAAAACGTTTTTCACAATCAAATATTGCCGCTTAAACTTCTTAATCTTTCAATCCTACAAAAAAATATAAATTGTTGTGAATTGATGTAATAATAAATGAGTGAATATGTGAAGTGGGAGGACAATATTTTGTAAAAATAGTTGGCTGTGCACATATCCCTCTACTTTTAATGAAACTAGTTGCCTAGTCACTAGTTAGTCGACTTTACACACATCCGACCTCAAGTTCACATTCCACCTACTACATCTGGGCTGTTTTTAATTTGTTGTGTTTGTTTAATAAAGGATTCTTGATTCTGTGTGTATTTTAATCTCGCTATAAATCGGCTGCTTAGAGAAGCACCACGGCCCTTTTGAAAAAGGCCATGAAGAGGGAGGGACACAGCGGACAGGTCAGGGATAAAGATATGAAGACGCTTAAAGCACACATACAAATCTATAAAAACATGGTGGTCCACCTAAATTGACAGGAATGACTTAACCAGATGAGGGGTCTGCTCCACCGAGCTGCAGAATTAAGACATGTTTGTAATCTCTGTGGCATTGGCAATCAGAGATGTGAGAACAATTAAATTTTTGAAAACAATTTTGTTATCTGTGTGCTTGCATCAATGCCCAACACAAGTAGAGGGATATAGGCAGCCAAGAGAGAGCAGAAGGTCAAGAACATATGTTTTTTTTTTTTGCTTTTCAAACTTGGATTTGACCTCTTTTCCAGCGCTCTGCTCCGTTTTCCAAAACAAACTGAATGCTGCAATGCTCTACTTCTGTAATGAATAAATGTTGTTTGCTACTTTTACAGCATCACATGATGAATTTGTAGTGCAGCATATAGGAGAAGAAGCTCTGCAGAGTTGAATGCCGCCACAAAACTGCTGACTCACTGAAGGAATAGTTTAAGGACAGTTTGTTCCCAGTTGGCTAATGCCATCATGTGCAACATCACTCTCTCATTTGTCAATACTGTATTCTTTTACACTTTATGTTCAGATCCTTTATCAGGCTTTATATTTGTAGGTGTAACCCGTCTATGTTTGTCTCAGGTCCAGTAGGTTGACTTCAGGACAGACACATTAAGGTTTTCTCTTTTTATTCTAACAAGAGAAAATCAAGATGGTGGCTAACATCAGTCCAGCAGCTTCTGCCTCAATAAAATACAATAAATGACCCTAAAAGAACTACGAAGCACTCAATGAGCAGTTAGCAGCAGTTCATAAAGTTAGCATTTGTACAGTTAAACATAGCTAAAACGGGCAACATTAATAATGATAACATTTAAAAACATACACAAAACAGAGAACATTTACTCAGGAAACACTGTACACCGTCAAATTGGTCCAGAATGTATTTTAAAATACCCTTGTGAAGAAAACTAATAATACATACCACAGTTGAAGACGGTAACTGAAAAAGGGGGAGGAGCTGTCAGTTACCGGTCACCATGTTAACCACCAACTGCCACGAGCAGCGTCACACAACGTCAAACTTCTTCATTCTGAGGATGAATCAACTGATTTTGACAAACTTCACATCTATAATATTGTTTAAATAAAACCCTGTTACATACGATCTGCTTTGTCTTTTCCCAGAACAAATTACATACTTCCTCCTGTCTGCATGAAAGCATTAGGTAAACTAAGTCTCGACAGAGTGCAATTAAATACATTTCTTTTGGGAAACAAGGTGTAAGAAACAAAGTTGAAAAAAACCAAATCAATAGCAGTGTTCTTTAGTGCATCAAATTTAGCTTTAATGCACATTCACTGAACACTTTATCAAATTGAAAACAAGTCTTTAATTGGGTTGCAACTCAGGCTGTCATGGTATTTATGTGGTGAAGAAGACTGTAGTGTTTAGATTGTGGTTTGAAAACAGAAAATATCCAGTGAGCTGTATTATTTTGCATAACGCCATATTGGCGCCATATAACTGGTTCAATTAGGTAATTCCTGTCAGCTAAAAACAGGAATACGAGGCCACAAGATCGCACAGACTCATACAGAGAAATACAGATTTGGAAAACATAGCTTGATCCAGTGAGTCCTGGTTTCAACTGTGGCATCGTATAGTAGGATTAGACAACAAGTAAGTATTGTAAATGACCTTATTAGTATTTTGTGTTTCCTCATTTAAAACGAGTATTTGTTGACATAAGAATTTATGCTTTTATTTTGAAAGGGTTTGAAACGGAAGTGTGATGCCAACGTCAGACAATCAACTGATAATTAACTGCTGGTAATCGCGCAGAAAGAGAGAGCGCGCAGGTCGGATTAAAACTAATTAAGGAGTGGTTCAAATTAGGGTGTAGACAGTCAGTTGGTTGGCGCTTGGTTGACGGGGAACAAGGTGAGAGTTTTTAATATGTAAATATATGTTTAGTTTTACTGTAAAACGTGTTGTTTGCTATTGGGTGTGACGGTTGTATTTTACCATTATACGACACTAATATTCGTTAATTAACCGTTAACAGTTAATATGTTGCGCTTTATTTTATGGGAGAAGGTTTAATTATAGAATGTAAGAAAAAGAATTTATATGTTAAAGTAAAATGTGAAATCAACACTGTTTGAGTTATTAATGTATTTTATTTGTATGTTTTGTAGCTCTTACGGTGTGTTCACAATACAAAGGCATTCAATAAAACATTGTGAACCATCAGTTTGAGATACCATCCATTCAACCGGGACACTACAAGTATGACTCGGTCTTACCTTAAATTATTATTTCAGGTTGGTGCTGCTGTATGTTGGAGCAACTGAATGTCATTTAAACGCGTAAATCTAAGAGTTGCAATAACCCAATCAGCTTAAACTGGTTACTTTAACATGCAAAAGGGTTTGCTAAACTCCAATGGCCTCCCGTATAGAAGATCTTAATCCAATATAGTCCCTCTGCAATAACGAAGTGATATAATGAACGTGTCAATAATGACCCAATCCTATATTGAGGATTGTTCCCAAAAACTTGTTGAATCAACATAGCTCTGAAGACAAACGGTAACCCAAAACTGTAGAAGATGTACCTAATAAAGTGGCCAGAGATTATATATTCAGTCGCAGCTGGAACGGAATTAAAAATCATGATTAAGATCTATTTTTTAAGATTTGTAAAACAGCGGAAACCCTGACTTTCTTTGAATCTCAACTAAAAACACACCTGATTAAAATTTAATTTGAAATGTAATATGTAACAATGTATTGTTTATTCTATGTTGCATGACTTTGTGTTTAGCACTTTGAAATGCCTTGCTGCTGAAATGTGCTATACAAATAAAATTTGATTGAATTATACTAAATAAATTAAGAATCAAAATATGCAGGAATTTTTTTTTCCAACTTCTGCTCTTTTACCTATGAGATAATGAATGGTTTGGCCAAAAAGAGAACACTGGGCCAGAGTCCCGGGTTGTTTATTTTCCTGTTGATAAAAACATGTGAGGAGATTTTGTAACGATGGCTTTATAAACCAATTTGTTAAAACTAAAGCACATGTTTATGTGCGTGTGACCAAACACAAACAAGTGCAGTCTAAACAGATCCGGCACGCAAGCAGCTGCTAAACGAATCATCATTTCAGAGTTAATTCACAGGAAACCGATCTGTGTTGTTGGCAGAACTGTCACAGGACAGAGACTCCTAATGTCACGTCACTCTTCACATTTTCTTCACAACAAAACGAGCCGAACGCGAGGGTGAAATGTAAACGAAGTGTGTGGAGGGAGTCACCTGCCTGAAACAAGAGCAGTAGCTCCCATCAGAAGCAAAGCTACATAATTATTGTTTGTGTGCAGAAGATTGGGCAGCTTGAAAGGGTTAAGCATGAGTGGATTAAAACGCCGGCACACATCCGTTTCCATACTCTAATCCTCTTAGTGCCCACTCCTAATACGTTTTTATATCTTTCCTATCTCTCACAGAGGTGAAATATCAGATTAGTTGCCAGGCTTTGACTATATCTTATTACAACCTTATCTAACACAAAGAGGTTGTGAGCTTCCAGACGGGTCAGCACCATGCTGGCCACTGGCCTCTTCACTGTTTCCTGGCAAAATGATAAATGAAGACATATTTTTTTGAAAAACATAAGATGTTACTATGGGCTTCTATGCTGGATCTTTTTGCCATCTTGTTTATTTGCAGCTTGTTGTGTTCAAGTGCAGCAGGAAACGGCACAGATGCAGTTGAGGCATGTAAAAGTGAAACAAATCCCTCTTTTTTTTCCCATCTGGTGATCACTGTCAGAAAAATTACTCTGAAGCCCTTGTGCTTATTGACTGTGGCAGGCTTAAGCTCATGCACACTCATATGCACACATGTGTGCACGCATCCATGTCATAAACCACACCTAGTGTAAATGCTATAAACAAATAGTCTTATCAACCTCAGACCTAAACTCAATTTCAGCGCCGCCCCCAGCTGAACTAGATCTCATAGTGTTAAAATCAATCATTCTGCTGCAGAAGTTAATGAAACATATGAGAACACAGAAGTTAAATCAATGAAAGTGCTTTCGTCAAAGGGTCTGTGATGCTATTTAACAAAGATCTATACCTCACAAGTAACTCATGTGAACAGGAAGGGCACACAGTGTTTCTGCAAAGCAGCCTGGCATGATAAACTAATGACCAACTTGTGCAAAGTTGTAGTTATAAATCACTCTAGGACACCAAAGCAAATAGGTGCAATGAAGTAGTTCAACTTATCAGTCTCACTAAGGGTTATGAAGTGCTCCTCTAACGTGGTGCAGCTGGACCAATGCCTAATCAGGTCACCTTTACAGGAAACTTGATTCAAGCTCAGAAAGTAACACCATGCTGAGTCACTTTCCTGCATCTCTCTGTTGTCCAAAAGCAAACATGACCTTCTGCCTCACAGCGACCGCCAACTATATTGGGACTTTCTTAAGGGACCCATAACCTACCGTCCAGTCGCACATTTAGAGATATTGTGGGTTTTTTGTCACATTTGAGCCATACAAATGAAGCAAAGTCAAAACTAAATAGAATTGCTCTTCGAGCATTCCGACAGTGGAAAGGAAATTTAGTGCCTGGGCCAATATGCTGTGGAGAAACTTAAATTAGCGTTTGAAATTAAATCATAAAGTTGTTAATTGACTGGGCAAACTAGATGTCAGAATGTGTGGTTTCATTTAAATTAAATAACTCAATTATAATTGTGGAAATACAGTATTCTGCCCAAAGCTGTTGCCTTGCAGGCGTTGAAGGAAAGAATGAATATGAAGGAAAAGAACCTCAACTTTTAGATAAGGAGGACGATCTGTGATGCTGTGGGCTTCTTCAAAAGGCATAGATAGACAGCATGATATTGTGCAGTGTTTGGAAAGATGGGCAGATGGATGCTCAACAAAATAACAAATTAGTCTGATTTTTGTAGAAAAATGATTTGTAAATTGTAGATCTGAGACATACACTCCTAAAATTACTCTTAGGTCTATTGATTTCTATTTTATTCAAGTTTGTTATCCATTCCCGGCAACAGGTTTGTTGCTTGATCTGTTTAATTAAGAAGAAATAATTAGTGTGACACTTAATATTTTCCATTTTAATAAGATCTTACCAGCATCTTTTGAAATACCATGCAACTGTGAAAATCTCTACCTAAAGATCACCAGTCGCCTCTGTTATGTTTGTACACAAAACCAACCTGAGAGTCATAAATGGCCAACGAACCCCAATTTTGACACTGCTGCAACAGAAGAAGTATTTGCAGTATTTCCCACTATATGTCCTCACAAATAAATGTGTGAAATTTTGCTACTGCAATAAAATATGAATTTATTTGAAGGGATTTCTACACCTCTATACCGGGGGTTGCTAAGAAATGCATCCAGCACCGTATGCATTTTTAATTAGCCATCATCCACAGCTGCTCCCCCCCAGTCTTCAAACACGGTGATACAATGCAACAGAATAATCCATTCACCTTTAACTTGCTGCATTTAGTCTGCCTGCTGTGCTTGTGTCTGTGAAGCAATGCACTTTCACATGGGCACAGAGAGGGAGGCAGTTAATCCACAGGTTTATGATAGGGAAAGTTTTTCTCTATCCACCCTAAGAAGATCCTCCTTTTCCAGTCCTGTGCAGCCCAGATATCAGTCAAGAGCGAAGGGAGGAAAAGTACACAGATATGCACTGAATGCACATCCGAAGGTCTGTGAAGGGCTGTGTAGGCTCCCACAGAAACTGTGGAAGGCTTGTTCCACTGTTGTGATTATCGGGCTGCTGTACTGACAGCAGTATAAACATGTATTGATGGGGAAGGTTAACAGTGTGGCTGCAGGACAAGCTGCAGGAAGCTGTTTGCAGCCCCTGTGTTTGAGTTGACTTAATAAGCTGGTCGATGTTAGAAAACAAGGTCCATGAGCTGTAGCTGAATTATTTCTGAAAGTTTTTGGCTCAAAAGGAAAAAGAAAAGGTGTAATCTAATAAACA